ATGGTATGGATTCAGCTTTCTCCCCTCACCCCAGTTTGATCTAGAATTGCTCCTCTACACATAATATGTATGCTGCCAAAATCGTTGTGCTGTACTCAACTCAGCAGCACTTAACAGATCCTAAAAATGTCTTAGGTTACACAATGGAATACAAAATGCAACCTTCAGGAGCAATAATCTGAAAATCACTACCTAACTTGGGAGATCATTATGCTAAGTGAACTAACTCAGTCCCATAAGGACAAATAGTATACAAGACCATTATTGCAGAAATAGAGAACTAGTAAAATGTATATCAAGATACAAGGGGGGGGGTAAGAACCGATGGGTGAGAATGGGCACGGTGGGTAATTATAGGGTCACACAATTCGATGGGTAGAGGGAGGGGTGGGTAAAGGAAATGGGAAAGATCTGGTATGAAAAACAATGTATACAAACTTTGTAAGTAAACCAGTATATAATAAAAATGGTATTTTAAAAATAACCAAATCAAACAAAACACTTAATCTGTTCAGGTATACCTTATACAGGAAAGGGAAAGCGGAGGTTTCTCCTAAACAAAATAAAATTAGTAAAAAAGAAAAAGAAGTCTGAGGTTTTCTTGCCCCACGTGGTTATTCTAGCCTCTCCCCTTATCTGCACTTATACACCCTGTATCCATCCTTCCAACATCTATCTTACATAGGGATCTTCACGTAATCTTTCTACCACCTCCACCTTGACCCAACTGATATGTCCCCTCCCCCCTACGACACCACATTTACAATTCTACCTTGATGTATTGGGGTTGAATTGTGAGCTCCTTGAGACCCATCTTAAGGCTGTTGTTGTTGGTATTGTTTTTGGGTGTCATCAAGTCAGCTGTGGCTCGTAATGATCCTATAAATGACAGATTGCTTTTTTTTTCTTTTTATATAATTATATTTTATTAATTTTCATAAACATTTACAGAGATTTTGGGCTTCCACTCATTCATTGTTGCACTATTCTCTCTACCCTCCTCCCAG